GGTGGTGGTGATGGCGGCCTCGGGTATAAAGGCAAGTGGATGCTGACACTAATCTGTTGAGGATGAGCAGCGGCAGCGTCGACACTAGTTTACCAGGGAAGATTAGACAACCAGAGACACTATAGACAATATTGGGACTACCAGACAACCGGGAACATCAGGCATCTTCAGGAAGCCGGGAACATAAGGCAGTCGGGAACATCAGATAACCGGGAACATCAGGCAACTGTGAATTTCAAGCAGCCGGGAACATCAAGCAACCTGGAATAGACAGAGTTTTGTCCCTAAAGGTGTCGTCCCTATGGAGATATATTTATTGACGGGGATAGCGGTGGTGACGCTGCTGGGGAAGACAGCCTCTGCCGGAGATTCATTACTGCCTCAGGTGGCGGGCAACGTGACACTCCCTCAGGATGAACAAGCTCACCTGGCGATGTTTATGAATGTTCTGGCGAGCAAGTACACATCCCGGTGTTTGAGGGCGTTGGTGGGTGACGCCGGGTATTGGGTCGGTCACTGGGATCACGCCCACGTCATCATCAACCCAGACTACAGTCAGGCTAGGAACACCGTCGACTACATGAACGAGAACACGGAGAAGGTGACCACGTACTCGTGCGTCACGTACATGATGACGGACATCCCGCGACCCCGCCTGCTGGCATCCATCACCGACCTCTCCAAGAAACAAATGACGCGATACTTCCTGGCGTACCTGAATAACGTGCAACAAGCTCACAAGTTTCTTCTGGACGACCGCCTGAAGAACGAAGAACACGTGGCGGCACTCGTGAAACTGAGAAACAATAAAAAAGAAGAATGGTCGTGGCAGGTGCTCACACGTCAACTGCTACACCCATCAGGCTCCCCGGAGGTCCACGTAGCCAACATGTGGTCACAGGCCCAAGGCCTACGCGAGAGAGGCGAGCTCTTCCCTGAACAGATGAAGAACTTCTATGGCACGAAGCTACAAGGCGTGACACTGGATTTCCGCCCATTTACGGACTACGAGAAATTCCCCGGGACGAGGGTGGTGAGGCCCAAACCCTCACTGGACGTGTTCATCCTCGACGTGATCGCAGACAACCTCAACTTCACCTACGAGCTGGTGATGCCTGAAGACGGCCTCTGGGGCTACATCAATGACGACGTGAGTAACTTCTTTAAATCTTTAACTTCTGTACACTTAACGCCCTAGTTTATATTTTAGTCAGAAATCGAATCCGGGGCCTCACCGCAAGTACATCGACTTTATAGAGGTAACTCTGCTCCCACTGTTCTCACGTAGAGGTCCTGTGCTCGATTCCTGACTACTGAGGTATTGTTTGTATATTGATGTACGCGTATATATATATATATATATATATATATATATATATATATATATATATATATATATATATATATATATATATATATATATATATATATATATATATATATATTGAACTCGATAAATCCGGAAGTTACTTTTGTAGAAATTGCAATTTTCGATTTACTAATTTGCTGACTCCTGACCGCTATTGTGTTTCGGCAGCAACATCTCACCGACGCCATTTTTCGCGGATACAGTGTTTAGATATGAACACTTCCAGGACAGAGCAGGGCAGGTTATGTTAAAGCCATATAAGACTGTAGGCTACGATCAGCCCGGGGTGGTATCCATCTTTGGCTATTCGTCACTGCATTATTAAGTGCCGTGTGGGTCAGACGATATTCGGGTAGGAGCTGGCTGGCAAACGTAATATGTGGATGGTACAAGTGACGGTTCACACATACGTTACACTATTTATGCGCCGGTACCTTGCACAACACTGCTTCTGCCTGCTATTGAACTAAGATAACATCCACAAGGTATTACAGTATGTACCTTTAAAATTGTCAGTCCAATCTCAACATCAGCATGACAGATTCAGTTTTAATGTAGAGTTTTTACGGTCATTGTGTCCCATTTTTCATTCGCAGACGAGTTAGTATCCTCTATTGCCCGGTATGATGTTAGACATGGTGTGAAATGTGTGTTTTTCTCCAATAGTTTCAGTAGCGATACGAGGACATTACTTACTCCTCCATTGACTATGACTCCTCTCTCGGGGACGGACACAATTCTTCTGGTATGGAGGTTTTTGTGTCGTTATGAATTAATTGATTTTCGATACAGTAGGTAAAGATATGCAGGAAGAAGATGTTAAGCCACTTGTTAGTAAGCGCAGGTTATTGTTAATATTATCCCTCGACAACTGGTCATTTACCTCTCTCCCCAAATTGATCTATAGATAAATGACGTGTGGTGTGGTGTCATGAAGTGTGTTGTGGTGTCATGACGTGTGTTGTGGTGTCATGACGTGTGTTGTGGTGTCATGACGTGTGTTGTGGTGTCATGACGTGTCCAGGTATCATCGTGTAGACTTACCTCAATGAAAACTTTATGAGTCGGTGTTTCTGAATCATTAATCAGTCGAGTAGAGTCAGTGATTGTTCCTGTCAGTGAGAAAAAAAAATTCTTTGGCGGTTGACAACAAAAACGTGATAATTTCTCGCTATCTATTTATAAAAATTTAATATACTTGATTAACCTTAGAGACCAACATACTTTACACTCTGACCAGCATAACCTCATAACACTAACCCTTATAACCAATTAAAGTCACATAACACACCTGCTGTAACATTAACCTGAGAACTAATGAGCGGTACACTACACACACTCCTCTATCATGGGTGACTGACACTACCTTCTGGCCTTACTGAGTCACAGGTGAGTTAGAGGTAAAGTTATCCGCCTTTGTGTCAACACTTCCGTTAGTTATTAATGTTAACAACAGCATATGTGATAACCTTATGAAGCTATTATGTCACTTAAGGTATTACTCATTGTTGTTTGTATGTTGGGAAATTAGAGTACCTGAGATAATGATAATAATAATAATAATAATAATAATAATAATATAGTGTAATGATAAAGATGTTGATGAAAATGACGACGACGATGATGATGATGATGATGATGATACTAATAATGATAATGATCATTATATTTCAGCCCGCCTCGGTCTTTATGGTTAATTTTATGTTTCGATTGTATTATTTTCTGGTTGAGTCATTTTTAACCTCATGAATTGTGTAGGTTCTTCAAAAGGAAATCTAACTTCATTCTCTCATTATCACTCCGTTTTCCCTATCATCATCATCATCATCATCATCATCATCATCATCTCTCTGGTGTTTCCTTCCACCATAAAAAACAACCAGATAAATAACAAACTTAATCTGTATATCACACACACACACACACACACACACACACACACACACATCACAAACTTCGACACTAAAGCTCATTAATTTCCTTCATAACGTCGTACTGTTAATTTACGGAGGTTTAAACCTTTGTGTACAAGTGCTGGCAGAATGACGCGTGACCGGCAGAGAGTTATGTATATACAGTACTTGGTGTTAAGGATGATTCTGAAGTAGGATGATTAGGTACTTTATGTATGATAGTCACTACATGGGATTGACTCATTCTGCATGGAGATTTAACCCCCTTTAGTACAGTAATTTAATCCCTTCATTCACAGGGGCACTGGGTAGGTGTGGTCGGTGACGTGGAGTTCAGACGAGCCAACTTCTCCCTGGTGGTGTCGGTCACGCTAGAACGCAGAATCAGTGTGGACTTTACCCGCAGCTACTACCGCGACCCTCTCAGCTTCGTCACCGCCAAGAGTCGTTCACAACCACCCTGGCTCAAGCTCTTCAGGCCTTTTAGCAGTGAGTAGACGGGGAGAAAAAGTAGGAAAGTAGGGTAAGATTTTCATTCCTATCAAGCAGTGAAAGTTGAAAGAAAGCGTAGGAAAAATAAGGTAAGGGTGATGGGTAAGGTTTTCATTCCAATTCGCAGTGAAAGTGGGAAGAAACTATTGGTAAGAGTATTGAGGTAAAAATACGAAGGCAGGGGAAAGGGAAGGGCGAGGGTTGGACACTGGTAAGAATGAGTGGATAAGGAGGTGAAGGTAGGAGAGAGTAAGAGAGAAGAACAAAATATTTAATAGTTACCCTCGATGCACCTCTTCTTCCTCCTCACGACTAGCGTTACTGACTGACTCACCTCAAAACTGACAGATAGACAGACAGGTAAAGACAAGGTGTGGCTGTTGACTGATAGACATATAGAGATAAACACGTATATATAAATACAGATTGATATAGGTGGCCAGAATGTCTCCTAGGTTAACCAATTGTTCCTCCCTCCATTCACAGACGAGGTGTGGCTGTTGGCGGCGGCGTCAGTGGGGGTCGCAGTGGTCATGTATTACATCATCTTCCGGGCCCAGGCCACCTTAGGCACCCCTCCCGTCAGTGCCTCCAGGGCCTTCATGTATATCTTCGGGTCATTCTTGAGTCAGGCGCTCTTCGTCATTCCCTGGTTATCTGCTGGGCAGGTGAGAGAGAGAGAGAGAAATTAACTTTGAAAAACAGTCCAGAATTCACAAAAAATTATTATTTTTGACAGGTTATAGCACGAATAAATATTACTTTAGTTAGCCATTAAAAGAGACATTTTTTTCTTTGATGGTATTACAAAAGAGAAAACGCAAAAGATATTCTGGGTAACTGCTTTATTGTGGTCAACATGTATCATCTACCACTTACCAACTTGCAAGTCGTTCGAGCGGCTGGTCTGTTTTTTGTTACGTTGTTATGAACTTTATTGGGTTAAGATTCATTTTATCCCATAACGCGAATTTGTCGTTGCTAGTGTAAATGGTCACATCTCCATAAATATTCATCTCCCACGGAAATGAAGGTCATATTCGTTTATTACAGGAAAAGTATAAAAGAAATAGTATCTTGGTAATCAATTTCCCGTTAAACTTTATCTTCACCATTGATCGGCGTGTTAGCCGCTTGGGTAGTCGGTTACGTCCTTGTTATGCACTGTTGCCAAGTACTAGTATAATGTACTTGCTCCTGGATGTATCTGTATCTGTTCCAGTGTTGGTCAAGTCTGGTCTTGAAACAGTTCACACTCGGTGCTGTCACAACACTCTCTGGCAGATTGTTCCAAGAGATTACAATTCTCACTCCGAAAAAGTTTGGCCTGACAATTTTCTGGAATGTGACTACTAACACTACTACTACTACTATTACTACTACTACTAATAATACGTATTACTACTGCTACAACTACTCATAGTACTATCAATACTACTGTATTATTTTACCATCACAGCTATTACCATTAACGCTATTATTATCAAAACTAATACTATTACTACAGGTACTACTTAGTTTCTGGTTCATCTACGCTTTACTCCTGACGACTTACTACAAGACATCGTTGACAGCAGCACTGGCAGTGCCCTCCGCACCTCCAACTATCGACACCCTCGATCAACTCATCCGCTCCAACCTCGAGTACGGCATGATAGATGCAAAGGTAACATGATCGATCTCCAGTATGGCATGATAGACACCCAAGGCCCTCTTGGGACCTTGGCAACACCTCAGGCCTTTCACTTTGTGACTATAGGAACTCTATCCGCTTCATAGTTGACTCAACTACATTACCAATAACACTGATGTATTTACCGCATGAAACTTGAGTTTGGTTTAAGCACAATAAACCAATCCTTATGAGAGTTTCACGACTCAAAGGCTCAAGAGGCTTTAAAACCTATAGGGCGTTATTTTTATTAGTAAACCCACGTTTGTGTCGATCAGCATTAGGGGCAGTCCATATGTCATCAGATATAACAGACGTGTGTGTGTTTATTTACGCTATTACAGTAGTAAAAAATAAATTTGATGAGTCACTTCCACCGCCACAGGGATCCGAGTATCAACTCTTCTCCAGCTCTAACGTCCCGCTCTACCAAGAAATGTTCAAACACATGAACTATTACTCCTCGGCTGAGAGCATGAATTTGGTAGCTGAGGGCAAATACGCTTACATCTACTTTAAAAGTAACCTAGAGACCATCGTCACCACCCAGTACACCAGCATGAACGGCGAAACCGACCTCCATGTGGCATACGAGGAGTTCTTCCCTGGAGGATACGGCTGGGCGTTCCCTAAGGTGCTCTCCTGGCTCTTGTAATACTGTATGTTTGAGTCATTGAAATTATATACGCTTGTAGTTTTTTTTCTGGGTGTTTATGAGTACTTAAGCTTCCATAATTTAATAATGTTAAAGAAATTATTGAAATCTTGATGTTAAGTAATAACAAATATCTTTAATGTGTTTTTGTCCCCGATTGTTGTTGTACCCTGTACTTGCCGTACTATTCATAACTAACAATCTGCTCATTACTGACTTGAGCAATATGACCCAGGAAACACGCCTAAAGCTAACTGATAAAAGAAAATCTAACATATTGTGCAATGAAATATTCTCTCACTACCTACAGCATAAACACAATGCCTGCCTCCAACAGTGTGCTTTGCCCACACTCTCCTTAACGGGCAGTCATGCCTATTGGACCCAAATATGTTAGTGTAATTAATATTTAAGAAGAGGTTTAATCGAATCTGATTTTGAATGCACTATGACCCTGATGCCGTAGAGTATTCACTATTTCTTCAACGGGGAGCACCGCACTGCAGAATGTTCCTTGTCACTAAGTAACACAATATATGTATTCGTTCTACAGGGAGCACCGTACAGGAGGACCTTCGACGACGTTATGTGGCGGTGTGTTCAGGGCGGCCTGATAGCCAAGTGGATGAAGGACCTGCACTATATCTACCTGGAGGAGGCCATGGAGCAGAAGACCCCGGAGGATAGGGAAGCGGAGAGACAAGTGGCTCTTAACAAGGGAGGGGACAGTCGAGTAAGGCATCACAATTACGTCTTGGCTGTAAGGAGGTTTTTTAATACGAACGTCACTTGCAACTGTTTTTCCTGAGCATAGTTCGTGAATGAGCTGATGGCTGAGAAAGTGCAGCAGAAACAAACCACAAGTATTTCCACAAATCTTCCATGAAAAATAACTTCCATTGGGGGAAAAAATCAAAATGTGGATTAATTAATTGTTCAGGGACTCAGATAGTCTTCAAGAATCACTCCCCGATACTCGTTTTGTTTTGACCATCAGAAAGAAATATGGCGTCGTCAGTGGACGTGTTTGCGCAGAGGAGTCATGTTCAAGGGTACATGACTACAGTTATTTATCATTACAATTTTAAATACTCGCCCGTTAATGACATAGTTCCAATAATCACATGTACGGTTGGCATCATAGGAAATGATAAAAATGTGTTTGATGAATGATGATTGGTTGGTCATCATTATCCCTTGTATTCATCTTAGGGAAACAAAACCGATGATTATTAAACTCAATAAATTTACACCTGGTTCTACTGTATCGTTAGTGTACACCAGTGTGTCTCCAGGTGCCACTCAAAGCGCGTGCCCCGAGTATGATTTCCGATAGGGGGACACTCAGGTGTTCTCTGTTTCTTTGTTTACTTTCTTGCTCGGCCGGACGATGTCCCAGGTTACCTAAGGTAATTTTTTTAGTTATGAAGTTGAAGTGTTAGTTTCTGACTCATATTTTGCTCATGGCGGGACACGGGGGGGTTGTATTGTTTATTATTATTATTATTAGTAGTAGTAGTAGTAGTAGTACTGTTATATTTATCATTATTAAGACTATAACTATTATTGTTACTAATATTTTCATCATTATTTGTATTATTAAAACTGTCGCAGGTGGTGTTAATGAATCTAAATTAACGTGGTCTCGGCCGCAGGTGGTGCTCGATCTCAACCACCTACAGGGGCCCTTCCTCGCCCTCCTCCTGGGTAGCTCGGCAGGGATCTTCTTCCTCCTGGTAGAGTTGGTTGTCGATAGAGTGTTCGGGTCTTAGTCCTCGTCACACCGGGGTCTGTTCCGCCGTTCCCTCGACAACCACCACCACTACTCCACCACCTTCAAAAACTAGGGGAAGTTTTCGCCTGCTGGACATAGAGAGGGTGACTGGTGAGGAGGAGGAGGAGAGAAAAGAAGAGAGAAAACATAAAAAAAACAAAACAAAATAAATTAGAAACGAAAGATAAAGAAGAAAATAGAGAAAAAAGACAGGAAGAAAGATGAATGCGAGAAAGAAAGACAGAAAAAAGAAAGAAAGAACGAGAGGAAGGTGAATTTATCTCAAACTATTATAAATAATCTAGTAGTACCGTTCAGTCGTTTGCTCTTTCTGGTATACACTTAAAATCAACAATGCTAAGTCTGACTATACTGTATATACATAAACCCTCACACACAAGACTTAAACCTACACAAAATCACAACCATTAACGAGAAAATAAACCAAACAATGAAACCCACAGTAAACAAATTTCCTTAGAAGTTCTCTATTGATTCGTGAGATGAAAGAATAACATCAAGACAAACTCTCCCTACGCAGGTGTGAATAAATGAAATACTTGTGTCTTTAAGGTATCCACACATCTGTCTTGAAATAGTGTACCATGTTATCTATTACCTAAAACAACAACGTATAATAGTCTGAAATTCACTGCAATAGTACTCGGCTGTTCATAGACTCATAAACTTAAAAAAATATATAGTATTTCTTTTTTTTCCTTTGGTATTTTTTTAATGTATAGCGTCTTGTGTCTATATTAATAATAATAATAATAATGAAGGCAACGATGATGGTGATGATGACAATGATGATGATGATGATGATGACACATAGCGTTACATACCGACTTAAATTAAATACGTTAGACTTTGTAAAATATGTTGCAACTTCTAGTCAGTCAGTCATCAGATGTTGCAAAGTTTAGTTAAGAGTCGTCATGGATGATGCAGATATTGAATTTAACCACAAAAATAATGATAAATGTTTCAAACGTTGACGTGTCTTGCTTCAAGATGTTGCAGATGATAGATTTAACCTCCGTATGATGCATTATTGTGTTGTGGGTGTTGCAGTATGTATTGGGGGTGTTGCAATGTGTGTTGGGGTGTTGCAATATGTGTTGGGGTGTTGCAATATGTGTTGGGGTGTTGCAATATGTGTTGAGGTGTTGCAGTATGTGTTGGGGGTGTTGCAATATGTGTTGGGGTGATGCAATATGTGTTGGAGTGTTGCAATATGTGTTGGGGGTGTTGCAATATGTTTTGGGGGCGTTGCAATATGTGTTGGGGTGTTGCAATATAATGTAGAGCACAGCAGGAGAGACAATAAGATTCGGGAACTTTATTGTGAGTCGGGTGGTGGTGGTGGTGGTGGTACGTGAGTGTGTGAGGCTCTCCATTGACCCGCCTTCCTGGAACTTTCCTCCTATACCCTCACCTGCCTCCACACCTCCCGCTGACAACATCCACACCTCATGCTGACAACATCCACGCCTCCCGCTGACAACATCCACACCTGCTGACAATATCCACACCTCCTGCTGACAACACCCCCACCTGCCTCCTACACCCCCACCTGCTGACAGCACCTGACAACGCCCCAACCTACCTCCTACACCCCCACCTCCTGCTGACAACACCCCACCTTCTGCTGACAACACCCCACCTTCTGCTGACAACACCCCCACCTTCTGCTAACAACACCTCACCTCCTGCTGACAACACCTCACCTTCTGCTGACAACACCCCACCTGTCTCTCAGTTTCCTTGAATTAACTTTATTTCCTAAAGTTCGCACGAGAAATTTTCCTTGTGAGAGTAAGATAATAATTCTCCAAAGATCTTAAGTTCAAATTATCCCGCCTTTTTCATCAACTCTCTCTCTACAACACCTTGAACCAACCCACAGAGCATCTTCAGTTAAATTTCACATCTTAATGGTATTCTTAAAGGGTCGTAAGTTATAATTTTTCCTTATATTGTCACAACCAGATTCTGAAATGATCGTAAACTGTTCCTTTTACTAGAGAGAAATGCCATAAAGAACGCTGATCAAAGAACTCCATAGAAAACGCTGATTAATTGAGAACACCATAGAGAACGCTAATGACATAAAGAACCTCGTCAACAACAACAATGATCTAATTAAAAACGGCTTCCTGAACGCCGATCTATTAATGAATGCAGGACTAAAAGTGACCCTCAAAGAACGCCGACTGGAACACAAAATCCGAAGCCTCGATCACCGAATCCGAAGCTTCGAATCCTTTGTTTTTTCGAACCCGTGTCCTGAAGACTGTCAAGGCAATTTAATTAAGTATTTTTATCCCTGTGGCGACTTTATATATTTACGAAGGAACAGAATGTGACCGACCCACCAAATCTCTCTCTCTCTCTCTCTCTCTCTCTCTCTCTCTCTCCACAGCGCCAGGTCATTAACTCCCAGGTGGTGACATCCCCTTCACCCTAACCTCTCTCACCTACCTCTCCTCCACCCTAACCTTTCACCCTAACATCCTCTCACTCTAACCTCCTCATTCTATTTTCCTCGCCCTAAGCTTCTCTCCTCAAACCCCCTCTCACCCTTACCCCTCACCCAAGGATACCCCTCCCTTTAATCCCACTCTGGACCCCCCCTCACCCTTACCCACCCAGGACTCACCCTCACCCTAACCCCCTACCCATAACCCCTTGCCCAGGACTCCCCTCACCCTAACCCCCTCCCAGGATCTCCCTTCACCCTAACCCTCACCCTACCCACCCAGGATCCCCCCTTCACACTAACCCCTACCCAGAACTCTTCACCTAGGACTTCACCCAGGACCCCTCACCTTACCTCTCCTGACCTCCTTACCCCCTCCCTGGACCCTCCCTCACCCTCACCCTTTTAAAACACAACAAAACAAAAAGTATCTCTTCTCAGACTTCCATTGAGTGTTTGACAATACATGACTCGGAGTTAACGACGAGGAACACTGCAGCACAACCCTCACGCGCTGAGGAGGAGGAAGAGGAAGGGGAGGAGGAAGAGGAAGGGGAGGAGGAAAAGGAGGGTAGAACGAATGGGATTAGGAGGAAGAGAGAGGCAGAGATTATGGTGAGGGAGAAAGAGGAGGAGAACGAATGGATTGGGAGGAAGGGAAAGGGAGAAAGGGAGAGAGAGATAGCAGATGAAGTAAGAGAATGAGGAAAAGAAGGAGGGACACAGGATAGAATAGTGGGGAAGGAGGTGGTGGCTAGGAAGAGAGGGAGCAGTGAGGAGAGGAGAAGAGTTGGGGGAAGGCAGGGGGCATTACGGACAGACAAAGGGTAAAATTAGGTTGAAATAGCGTAAGATGTTTCACAATTGAGCGAGGTGGAAGAAAAAGCTCTCCTTGTCTTTTCCTCCCCCATCAATTGGCGTGTGACAGATTTAATTTCTTCACAGTCTCTCTCAATGGTCCAACCACTGTCTCAGATTTCGAAGGACGAGACAAATTGCCGATTTTTCTCTCTCTCTCTCTCTCTCTCTCTCTCTCTCTCTCTCTCTTTACCCTCTTCGATAGTGTTGTCTCATTTCTCTTTCCGTCTTTCTGTTTCCTTCCTTCCTTCCTTTTCCCTCTTTCTTGCCTATCCTTCCTTCCTTCCTTCCTTCCTTCCTTCCTTCCTTCTTTCCTTCCTTCCTTCCACCCCTCACTTTCTTTCCTTCCCCTTTTCTCCTTCCCCCCTTTCTCTCTCTCTACTTTCTTTCTTATTGTGTCTTTGTCTCATTATTTCTTTCTTCCTTTCGTGTTTTCCTTTCCACACACACACACACACACACAGTCTCTCTCTCTCTCTCTCTGGTCCGGGGTGAGCGACGTACTCTCCGGCTGAGTTACTCTCCTAATCAATTTTCACCCTTAATGTTTCGCGAAGACTTAATTAACTTGGTCAAAAGATGTGCGTAAATGTTGTCAGTTTTACTACAGCCGCGGTGTTGTCAGACGTTTAGGTGAGTCAGGCATCAAAGACAAAGAAATTCACTCCCTGGCAACATCTGGTAACTCATCCTTCATATTAATTTAACTATTCTTAAGTTAGATAAGAATTCATAGTCTCTCATTGGTGGTATTTGGAAACTGTTGTTCATCCCAAATCTTCCAGTATTTGTAAACAACACGATAGTTTAATAAATAACTAATAAAAGATAGTTGCATAAATTGTCAATAATTGTCCAAGCTGTAGGTTGTCTGGCAACTGATCTGTCCCTAAAGATTTTACTATCACATGTAAGACAATATGAATTAACTCTACACTGAAAATCGTCAATATTAGAAGTGGTGTCTTAAAATTGTGTCAACCATCGGTAAAACACATTGCTCAACTCGAGAGCCATGTTGGTTGAAATTTGCAAATTTGTCTGTTTTTTCTCAAAATTCTTTAGGAATTTTCCCCGTTTTAGATATCTGGCAATTGAGCTGTGCCTTAGACCACAGGAAAACAAATATTTCTGAAATGTTATCTTTATTTCTTGGTGCAAAAATACAGTCGCGGTTACAGGTACGACCTGCCTCTAACCTTATACATACAGGGAAATGTTTGCTTAAAGACAACGCTGTAATGTGGACTAACCTTCAGGCATATTAGCATGTTTATATAATGTGTTTATTAACGGTATTTCAAGACCATCATTCCGCACATTAATCTAACATCCCATATGATTATTTAATGTTTATACAGTTTTGTGGTGCATTTTTATGCATAATGTTTATATTTTTATCATTAACTTTTATTTAATGTGTTATTTTGCATATTTATAGAGTATAATACAGAACATATTATCTATACAACCATGTTTATTCAACATTAGAGAGTACAGGTCAGATAATAAACATGTATGTTTATTTAGCATGTTTATATTTTTCAGAGAACACTCCATCATCACTGTCAGGACTTCAGAAAACACTCGTATATCACCTTAATAAACATGAGTCACAAAGTCGATTTTTTCACGTTTATATGACTCGTATTTATAAACCTCGTCTGACCAGGTGAAACTCACAGCTCTTTATCACGAAATTATACAGTAAATACATTAACAAGATACAATTAATAAAATGGACATAAATTTAATCTAATTTATAAGTCAAACTGAAATTGATTGGAAGATGCTGTTGTTTTAAGACTTTTTTTGTAAATATATTTCAGTCCTCGGATCTGTTCACCTTGTACAACCTTCTGTACTGTACACCTGAGTCACTTCTCTCCCGTGGGCATCTGTTGTTAATCGTTGCAGTTGTGTACGTTAGTAGATGTCAACACTGTACTGGTATAAATGGTTCTTTCTGTTTAATGTTGGGTTATATTAGTGAGATTATTATTCATGTTATTGTGAGTCCTTTTTAAACATATTATCATCAGTAGTGTAGTCTCCAGGTCCAGGTCACTAGATCCAGGTCACCAGGTCCAGGTCACCAGGTCCAGGTCACTAGGTCCAGGTCACCAGGTCCAGGTCACTAGGTCCAGGTCACTAGGTCCAGGTCACCAGGTCCAGGTCACTAGGTCCAGGTCACCAGGTCCAGGTTACCAGGTTCATTCACATTATCAGTGGTCGCCAGGTCCAGGTCCAGGTCACTAGGTCCAGGTCACCAGGTCCAGGTTACCAGGTTCATTCACATTATCAGTGGTCGCCAGGTCCATTCACATCACCTTCAGGTGTTGAAGATCAGAGAGGCTCTCACGTGACACCAGCGGATGTCTGAGAGTTGGGCCAAATTGTTACAGTACTGTTTACGTTATTGTTTTCGTTGTCTTATTGGTCGAGGATATTGTCGTTATGATATCGGAGCATTAACGGCATAGATGATACCTAACGTAGCACACCGTAACATCACGTAGCTCACGAGAATCTAACCTAACCTAACGTAACAAACTGTAATACCACGTAGCTCAAGAGAATGTTAAGTAACCTAACCTAACGTAACTTAACCTTATCCACCAGAACGATGACTTTCCATATCGTAACGTTACCCACTTCGTATTTTTCCCCTTTAACTAAAAATACGATATAACACCTCAACATGGGACAACGTTTCAGAGTATTTTTAACGCTAATTTTGTACGTACTGTTTCTGTGTGAGGTAAGGTTCTCTCACACGGGTAGAGTCTCAGTGCATATTTGATGCCATTAGTCTATGTAAATGTGTCCGTGTGTCAGTGAGTTGATACCAGACATGAGCCTTTGAATTCAGGGTCCCAGGCTCACGTGAAGAAGTATCCCAGAGGTCCTGTTTTGTCATAGCCGTCGTTCCCCGCCCCGTCCCGTCCCGTCCCCACCCCACCCCACCCCACCCCATCCCACTCCACCCCCCACCGTCACTCGGGTTCTTCTCTCCCACGTTCACAGACTGCTCAGGTAAGGTGGCTATAGGCCTAGGTTCAGGTTTCATCACCATATGAACCCTCTTCCCCACTCCCCTTATGCTGTACATATTATTTATCACCGTGGAATCTCTGTGTCTATACTTGTACCTAAACTGACTACACGATAATGAGGTGATAGTATTATGTTCACTGATCCTGGTTGAAGCTCTGTACTGTATGTTTGTATACGTATCTGTACCTGTACTGTACTGAATTAAGACAGTTTGTACTAAATAACGTGATATAATTATGCACTTTGCTTCTGTAGTCTGTGCTGTAGTTACTTTTTGACAATTCTGTAGCCTTTTTCCTACTTATGCTTGTATTGTTGCTTCTAAATTAATGAAGTTAAATTATGTGAAATACAGTATTCTTAAAGATGAGGTTGTTATCTAACATACTGATTAGTGATGATGTTAAGTATAATATCCACGTGAATTCTGACTCGACTAGCGGCCGTGACTGGTAAGAAACAGTGGCGAGTACAGGACAAACATTTACAAATATAAAAAAATCGTCGGGATACTTGTAGCAATATCTGACATCACCTACTTGACGGCCATGCAAGTAAGCAGGGATTGGTATCTTAACAAGTTTACTCAGAATTGTATTTTCTCTGTGCTACAAAGTCATTTATTTTGTTGCATAATGAAAAGAAGAGTTGGCAGGTATAAACAAATCCCATACATGACTTAGGAGTTGATGCTGGATATTGCTGAGCGTCGAGGAATTATTTTGTTAGCGTGTCTACAAGTACAGTATATACAATACTTAATAGGCTTTACAAAATCACACGTTCATGATTCAAGCAAATAAAAAACTGAGAATGATAAGGAAAGTTGAAATATAAAGCCTAATATTGTGTTCCTGAAGGCTAATGCCCGACAGGAGGAAAGTTGAGGGAGCTAATCCTGTCTGTGGTTTTGATATGGAGGAAATCTGGCCATGCGTCTTGGAGGTGCTGGACGAGCCTCCTCTCACGGGTCTGGCTGTTAGGAAATCCGTCAGTTCGTTTTGGAGAAGTTAGTTAATGTGACAGTGGTTGACTACCCTACTCTCTCCATCCCTTTGTGACACACACACACAAGTAGTAGGTAGTAGGCATACAGGTGTTAGGTAGTAGGCATCTACCAAACAGGGAAGTACTACCGCCTGGGAAGATATTGGAAGCATAATGTGTTGTCTAATGGTAGACCCTGCTGCTGTATGGCATCACGAAAATTGTGACCAAGTCCCAGGTTGCTTATCTGACTTTTTGCCTCATTTACACACAATTGCAGGGTCTCAAGTGTTTCTCTTAATAGTGACAACACAACATACATCTATTGTTTCTCACTATTGATCTGTTTTATTCTGTCTATTTGTGTATTTTTATGATGCACTTTTTTTCTTCTTTTGCTTTGCCTTTCATCCCCCCAGGCCCCGATGTGGGTCGGTGACCTGTACCCAGGTGGGCCAGCACACACATTAACATTATCACTTGTCGCTGAAGTAAACACATTTACCTTAATGACGTCACTTGTTGGGAATCCCGGTCAAATTAGAGTACTGTAATTTGAAGCACTAGTGACGTGGGCCAACTTTGTGTTTACTGATGGCGTCAAATGGCAGCGTTTTTAACACGTGTAACGTCATGGATCCGGATTGTTCATTCTTGTAACGTCATTGTATCGCAAACTGGTGACATCACTTTTCCCGCACTGGTAAAGTCAATGTATACCACACATATGACGTCACTATATCGCACACTGATGATGTCGCTTGTCTACGTTAGTGACGTCACAGCACCACATCGCCAGCCTTGTTTACACTTATGACATCATGAACACCTTAATTAAATTCCCTGTGTACACCTGGCAAATAAATACCATTCCAGTGAAGATTTTTGTCTCTCTTGCACTCTATTATAAAGCTCCTCTTGAGTGTTGTAAATCCGGTGATGATTTTTTTCTTCAGCTTTTACAAAATATTCTCATCATTTACACTTCTGAAGTAAATGCACAAAGTTTTGATTCATTTTCTTTATTATTTTACACTGGCACTTAAGGTAAATCGTACTATTTTACACTGAGTCTGTAAAAAATGCAGCAATTAAATTTTTTCTCTCACGTTTACACTTATTTACAGAGGAATAGTTTGATTTTTCACTTCCGAAACGAAAAGAATAATGTTATAATAACCTGTTTACATTTTTTACAGTGCTTCATGTTATTTTGTCCAACTGTAAATATGTATCTTAAGTCCATTTCTTGTTTTACTATTTTTTTTTCATTTTCATTCTGAATTCTTAAATAAATAACAGTAAGTAAATTAAACTACATTTTAACATTGTCTTTTACACATGTTTACGTCTAAAGCAACTTATTCTCTTGAGTACGACGTTAAGTCATCGTACGCGTGGGGTTAATTCATCGTACTCATAGTTAATTCATCGTACTCATGAGGTTAAATCATTATACCACGGAGATGAATATAGTGACTTCATTGTTATTATTATTTTTTTTTCAGGAGTAATCATCCAAAGTCAGGCACAGTTGAGAGTCGCTGCTAAACTACAACCGAACTTAAGATAGTTGCCGTTGAGTTACCAGTGCGGTGTTTAAGCCCTGTGGAAAAAAGAACAAATCTCCATAAGAAAATTTGTCCAGGTATATTAGTATGAGTGAATAGTATCTTGTATAAAGTACAGGTACAGTAATTGTTCATGTAGTGACTGTTTTGTGAATGTGGTGATTTAGTCTATATATTGGGACAGTAGTTTGATAATAGTAGGTGGTTGACTGACTCTCTAGAATACACCAGGAATTTGTTGACTGGCTCACTTCAATACAGTTGGAACAGATGGTTGACTGACTTACCAGAATACAGCAGGCGTTTGTTGACTGACTCACTAGAATACAGCAGTAGGTGATTGATTGACTCACTAGAATACAGCAGCAGTTTGTTGACTGACTTACCAGAATACAGCAGGCGTTTGTTGACTGACTCACTACAATACAGCAGTAGGTGATTGACTGACTCTAGAAAACAGTAAGAGGAGGTGTTTGACTGACTCACTAGAATACAACTCATCGACTGACTCACCTGAATGCAGTAGCAAGTGGTTACGGAGATTGGTCAACTTGCTGAAGCCCTTACCACAGGCAGGGCAGCGGTGTGGCCACTGACCCGTGTGGACAAAACTGTGGCACCTCAGGTCTCCAGGTGTCGGGAAGGAGCGGCCACACGTACCACACTTATGAGGTTTGTCCTGGGGGTAGTAATAGTAGTAGTAGTAGTAGTAGTAGTAGTAGTAGTAGTAGTAGTAGTAGTAGTAGTAGTAGTAGTAAAATGGTGGTGACGGTGTGGCTATTGGGGGAGGCTGGAGGCCACTTTAGTAAAAATATACAATAAAACAGTAGTGGATTGCAAGAAGCGAGACCAGTGTCAGAACCCACGTCGCAGGGAGCCGACACAGGTGGCCACAGTGGATATCGCCGGGACCCAACTACCCGATGATATCCGAAATGATAGCAGTGAGTCTACTCAACCCGAAAATGTAGTACTAATTAATGCTGCTCCCTTAGTAGCAGATGTCCACGAGGAGAATGAGAGACAGCCACCTCAGTGGAATGGCATGTCGATGGAAAATGCAGACATATGGGTCAAAGAAACCTATTCAGAAATTGTCAAGTGGTCGCCCGCTAACTTATTTGAACCACCCAAGTGTGCGGCCACCAAAGAAATGATTCGGGAGATGACTCGCTTCATGTCTGATTACACTCAGGACCGCTTCCTCGCCCCCTTAGCTCTTCAAATACTGGCAATAATACCACATCTATTTTGTCAGAGGACACACACAAAGGCTAAGCACAAAGAAAATGTGGCAGCAATGAAGAGAAGATTGACAATGTGGCAGACTGGGGCCCTAGATGATCTCCTATGTGAAGCAAGAACACTGCAGGAGAGACTAAAATTTACGGGTGACGGAAAGCAAAACACCGATGACGTGGCAAGAAAATTTGGAAACAAAATGCGTGTGGGAAAAGTGTCTCTCGCGGTAAGATCTCTCACACAGGAATCCTCCGGTGGAGTGATGCCAATAAACAGAGAGACATTAAAACTATTGAAAGAGAAACATCCCCCTGCAAGCGAAGATGAAGGCATCAGGCTCCAGGGTGACTATATCCCACCAAATGCTGTCCTGTTCGAGAAAATAACAGGAGAGATGGTGTGGAAAAAGGCACTGAAGACTCGAGGAGGAGCCGGCCCTTCAGGTCTGGATGCAAACGGTTGGAGAGTCATCCTCAGCACAAACAAGTTTGGCCCTGTAGCAAGCGATCTCTGCACTGCCATTGCCGCCCTTGCAAGAAAGCTTGCATCCTCTTGCTGCCATCACCTCCAGGCTCTGACGGCCTGCCGCCTTATTCCTCTGGAAAAGAAACCAGGATGTAGACCTATAGGGGTGGGGGAAGTGCTGAGGCGGATCATCGGAAAGTGCATAATGGAGGTGGTAAAGGATGATGTCAGGGCAGCAGCAGGGAACCTACAAGTGTGTGCTGGCCACCAGGCTGGTGGGGAGGCGGCCATTCACGCCATGAGATTGATATTTGAGCAGCGTGATTGTGAGGCCGTTCTCCTGGTGGATGCTTCAAACGCATTCAACATACTTAACCGCAAGGCTGCACTGCACAACATCAAGATCAAGTGTCCTAGCTTTGCGATGTATGTTGAAAATTCGTATAGGAATCCTTCAGACCTCTACATAGTAAACAACAAGGCTCTACGAGGTGATACCAACCTACAGTCGACCGAGGGAACAACACAGGGGGACCACGTTGCAATGGCAATGTATGCAATTGGCCTATCAGTGCTCCAACAAGAAATGAAATTTGAAACAACTGGGGTCAAACAAGTGGCATATGCTGATGACCTTACAGGAGCAGGAAAAGTGGAGGGCATCAAAAAGTGGTGGGACCTGGTAACATCGCGAGGTCCACAAATAGGGTACCACCCAAACGCCAGCAAGTCCTTCCTCATCGTGAAGCCAGAACATTACGAACGGGCATTGGAGGTTTTTGGCGGAAGTGAGGTCAAAATAACTAAGGACGGCCAAAGACATCTAGGCGCAGTAATTGGCACTACGGACTTCAAGACTGAGTACGTAGCGGGAAAGGTGAGTGAGTGGGTTAGCGAAATCCAAGCTCTATCTGAGATTGCTAACACAGAGCCACATGCGGCCTTTGCAGCATTCACCCATGGAGTCAAGCATCGCTGGAACTACCTGATGCGTACCATCCCTGAGATCGGACCCCTCCTCCACCCTCTGGAAGAAGCCATCAGTGTCAAGTTCATTCCCAAACTAGTGAAACACCCTGACTTAACCCCTGCAGAAAGAACACTTCTTGCACTTCCACCAAGACTGGGAGGGATGGGACTAACTAATCCAGAGGAGATTGCTGACACTGAACATCAGAATTCACTTAAGCTCACGGCAGCCCTCACTGACCACATAATAGCCCAGAATGCAACAGGGGAAGTGGACACCAGCGAAGTAAATAAGATCCGTAGGTCCATTACAACAGATCGGCAGCACTGCCAAAATGACATGTTGCAGCAACTATTGCTGCAGGTTCCAGAAAATTTGACAAAAAAAGTAGCTATAGCGCAGGAGGTGGGCGCCTCGAACTGGTTAACTACGTTACCGATAAGGGCAAATGGTTTCAGCCTTAACAAACAAGAATTTACAGATGCCATTGCTCTAAGGTACGGTTGGCCAGTAGATGGTTTGCCCTCCCAATGCGTGTGTGGCTCTTCCTATGATGGCGATCACGCCATGGTCTGCAAGAAGGGGGGCTTCATATGCATGAGGCATGACGAGGTAAGGGATCTCACAGCAAATATGTTGAAGGAAATCTGCCGGGACGTCATGGTAGAACCGACCCTCCTTCCACTGGATGGCGAGATCTTCCAACACAGGACTTCAAACACATCTAACGAAGCCCGTGTGGACGTCAGTGCTCGAGGATTCTGGACGCGGGGACAGCGAGCTTTCTTCGACATCAGGATTTTTGATCCCATGGCCGCTTGTCACCGTAACCTAGCTCTCGATGCTGCACATAGGAGGAACGAGAACGACAAGAGACGGGCATATGGGGAGAGAATTCAAAATGTTGATCAAGGCAGCTTCACTCCTCTAGTGTTCACAACCTCTGGTGGGATGGGCCCAAGTGCAAGATGTTTCTACGCCAGACTCGCGGAGTTGATCTCCGAACAGAAGCAGCAGCCCAGAAGTTATGTTACAGCCTGGATGAGATGTCGACTGTCCTTCTCTCTCCTTCGGTCGGCTTTGCTCTGCCTCAGGGGAACGAGAGCTTCTGCCCCTACTCCGACAACTGCTGCAGATATTGACTATGAGGCTACAGTCACTGAATGCCGCATAGATCTGCGGCTCAACTAATCTAACACAGTTAGGATAGCTTCTTATGTATTAGGATATTTAATATTAAGGTAAATAAATGGCGGCGAAGGTGTGGCTATTGGGGGAGGCTGGAGGCCACGTTAAAAAAAAAAAGTAATAATAGTTAAGTACTAGTAGTAGTTAAGTAACCTGACAACTTGACAGCCTCTCTATCCCTCTCCTTTCACACCCCATCCCTCTCACCTTCACCCCCATCCCTCTTACCTTCACACCCCCATCCCTCTCACATTCACACCCCCATCCTCTCACCTTCACCTCCTCTCACCTTCACACCCCATCCCTCTCACCTTCACACCCCCATCCCTCTCACATTCACCCCCATCCCTCTCACCTTCACACCCCCATCCCTCTCACCTTCACACCCCCCATCCCTCTCACCTTCTCACCCCCCGCCCTCTCACCTTGACGTGGGTCATCTTGTGGTAGTAGAGGTTGGACGAGGCTGTGAATCTCTTGCCACACACGGCACACTGGTGGGGCTTCTCTCCGCTGTGTATCCTGCGGTGGGTGTTGAGGGAGGAACTGGTGGAGAACCCCTTCCCACACACCTCACACGCGTGTGGCTTCTCCCCTGCACGCGCGTGAGTGTGAGTGAGGGAAGTGATTTAAAGAATTACTCTAGTGAGATAATGAGTATGTGATATATAAGTGCACATGCGAGTAGTTTATGAGTGTATATATGATTACCTGTATATATGCACTTGACATGTACGATCGAAGTACCTGTATGGGTGCGCATGTGCCGCTTCAGAAGGCTGGGTCGGTCAAAGATCTTGCCACACACGTTACAAGGCAGGAGTGACCTCTCGCGGGGCCGTCTTGTGAACGTCATGTCCAGCGACCTCTCGACCTCATATGACCTGGGCAGATGGTCATGCTGAGAGAAGGGGTCCTGGATTCTGATGGACCCCCGCGAAGGAAATGAAAATGAAAATTACTTAAGAATGAAAGATTAATTGAGAAATGGGTAATATAAGGGCAAGTATATATACAGGTACAGAAATTTCCATGTAGGTGGCGGTACAGTGTCAGTAAGGTGGCGTTGACTTGCAGAGTTTACTGACAAGACCTACCTGAAGCAGGGTTCACTATAAGAGCCCAGAGAGACATCGGATACACTGCCGGAGGAGGACGAGGATGAAGAGGAGGACACTGATCTGCGCTCCTCAGGGTCCGTGAGACAGGTCCTGCTTAAGACCAGGGGCTGCGACAGGTCCAGAGGGGCGTCTGTACAACAAGTGGTCATCAACAACTACGGTACGACATCAATACACCTTATATAATCTTTAACTGTAATAACATGTGGTATATAAACTAAGACAATGGCTTCTTATATTACTGTTAGTGTATTTGTTTTTATCATCATCATCATCATCATCATCATCATCATCATCATCATTCATCATTACATAACCCACCTCTCATCAGTGCTTCTACAGTTCTCCGACAGACAGCAGAGACTACCAGGAGGCGAGGAGTATTACCCACTACAGGTCCCCCCTCCTGCACCTTCCCACCGCCCGGCCTCACCACGGACCCTAGGGAGAAAAGGTAAATAAACAAACGGGTGAAACACCAACGTAAACATTAACTTGCATTTCTTCCTCTTAACTATGTAACTAACGTATAAGATTAGTTTCCTTTATCCCGACCCAGGTAAGACCTTAATTTTCGTACTAAATGCAAAGGTTTGGTTAAGTTAGGTTAGGATAGGTGTAGGTTAGATTAGGTTACGATAGAAGTAGGAGAGTTTAGTTTAGAATAGAGGTAGGTTAGGTTAGGTTTGGATAAGGGTAGGTTAGGTTAGGTTTGGATAAGGGTAGGTAAGGTTAGGGAGGTGAGGCTGAATTAAGTTAGGTTAAAATGAGTCTGAGTTAGATGAAGTTAAATGAGGTTAATTTTAAGGTAGATGAAGTTGAGTTACGTTAAATTTGAGATAGTTGAAATTAGATTAGGTTATGTTAGGGTTGTATGGGATTAGCTCAGGTTAGTTAGTATACATTAGGTTAGGTTTAGTTAAGGTAAGGTTAAATTAGGTCCGATTTGAATTCATTTAATTTACATTAGGTTAATATTCTAAGTTAGATTCGGATTCAATTAAGTTAGTTTACATTAGGTTAGGTTAAGTTAAGTCAGATCTGATTTAAACTAGGTTAGGTTAAGTATAGTCTCTTCTACAATACATCATTTTGTTACGTAGTTTTCGTTGTAAAGTGGTTGAGTATGTAACTTATATCAACATAGAGGGAACATTGTTACACACACACACACTAACACACACACACACACACACACACACACACACACACACACACACACACACACACACACACACACACACACACACACACACACACACACACACACACACACACACACAAAACCTAGTGCCAATACTTTACCTTCTGTAGCCAAAAATCTCAAAGTTTCAGCAGGTGTAGCTCCTGAGTAGACAGCAGAAGGGGCGACCAGTAGTGGGTGGTGGTGGTAGTGAGGGGTGAGGGAGGGATGGAGGGAGACGGGGGTGAAGGTAGGAGGATGGTTCAAGTCTTCAGGGTGCAGAAGGAAGGCGATGATTTCAGTGTCTGGTGATAAGTTCCTGGAAATGGAAAAATCATAGAAACTTGTTTACTATGAACTGATAATGTTTTTTCATGAATGTATGTTATGCAAGGAAGATTTACTACGTGTTTCTACTATAATTTTACTTATGTTTACGTATGATCATGCACCACCACGAGGTGCGATTCGTCCCCTTAAGGCTAGTCAAGACCTCCACCTAAGGGTCCAATTCACTTTCACACTTTTGAAAACAGAGAGCTGAAATTTGGTAGGGAGGTGCGAATGACCTAGGTGAGGGGATGGTCGTGTACTTTTCCCTTTCCCTCCACCCGGGTGAAGCCGGGTGACTGAACCAATAGTTCATATATAAAACACTTCCTAGAACATCTATTTTACCTGTCGTTATTCACAGGTCTTTATGTTAATTAGAGAAGATATAAGCCTATTGTTTGTGCTTTTTTTTTGTATTCTGACTCAACTTTATCCAAACTGGAGGGCTGAGTGATGGACACTCTCATTTTCTCTGGTCAAACCAGTTTAGGTCAGACCTGTGCGGACAGGTCAATGACACTTAGGTCTTTTAACTAGTGGCCCCTCGGCCAGTACGTAAGAAAGTCATTGTTAGGATGATTCTTTTCTGTCTTCTATCGGTTATAAACCTCCAGTCTCATCCGTTTCTGAGAGAAGGAGAAGCTTCCCCTTATGTCTGGGGTGATTATGGTGGTGAGGGAAATACACCTGGTGATGATGACCTACCTGGTGATGATAGTGACAATGTCCTACCTGTTGATGATAATGATGATGCCCTACCTGGTGATGGTGAAGGTGAGGGTGTTGTGGGCGGGGAGGGTGGCCACCATGTTTACTTCAGGGGTATAGTGACGCCACACCGTCAAGAACCTCACCCAGTTACACTCCCTCACCAGCCCTCCGCCCCCGCTGCCGGCCGTGCTGGAAGAGGTGGAAGAAGGGGTTATGGAGGAAGAGGAAGAGGCGGTGGGGGAGGAGGGGCTTGTGGAAGAGGAGGAGCTGGTGGAGGAGGAGGAGCAAGTGGACGCAGGGATGAGGTTCTCTCTCAAGCGGTCGTAACATCCCCAGCTGTGTCGAGGCTGTAGATAAACACAAAGTTTTAAGAAGCTGTACAACACAGACATAATGTAACTCAGATTAAACTGAAACATTATCCGAAGAACATGAAGACATAACTTTTATATCAGGCGAATCTCAATGAATTAACACGACAAGAATAGATCATTATAAGCTGTATTTTATAACATAGTGGCAGGATGCAAGGCAAAGCTAAGAGTGATCTAGGTTAAGGCACCACCTATATGACACCGTTGCTGTGCTGTGCCTGTACACTATACCTAAATGTACACCTGTACGTAACTTAACAGACTTTCTAATCCTGGTTCTGTCTCAGATTCTCTCCGATCATTGTTCAGTTCGCCACTGACGTCACCGTTACCACAGTAATTACTTCCGTACAATGTAAAGGAGAAATCAGAGACGACTGTCAACCGTGACTCAGTGTGTTGTCTGTGTGAGAGGAACTGTCTTGGAAACTGACCGGTTAAGGAAAATAAGTGAAAATATAAATAAACGCAAAAGACAATTCTATATGGCATAACCAGACAGAAAGTTCCAATACAATTGAAACTGTTGGCCAGGTAGGAGGTCACGGGTGTCGGTGTCAAGGTACGGTACAGTATGTCATTAACACAGCTCGCATCTCTCCCTCGGACCTTGACACTCTGGTTGCATCATCTTTCCCTGGTCGCCTTCGGGGTCACAGTGAGCTTGGATGATTGGTATTATGGGATCCAGTCCTAATGGCCCCAGAAACTGCTGGTTCCTAATCATACTAGGCTCCAGTCTTAACTAAGTTATAGCTAATTAGGGTTTGAATCTGTCAGGACTGGAGATTGGACTTGCAACTCAAGTATGTAGGAAGTAGTGAGAGTCTCGTGGTGGCGTCGACAGGGATAACACGTCTAAATTGTGGAGTTCTTGAACATTATTGTGGCATCTGAGTGCGGGAGAGGGACCAAGGGTAAAGGACAGTGTAGTTCGAAGTGAAATAAATATTAATATCAGATAATTTGTATCACGTGAAGATAATAAGCCCCCAACTTATGTCACCTCAAAATGAACCACCCTTACACAACACAACACAACACAACATCCCCAGGTATTGTTTGAGAGTTTAATCATCAGGCGAAGTAAGTTGAGAGGTTAATATTTATTTATAAACAACATAACAAGTAAATATCTAAGTTACAGTAGCGGGGACATACCTTCTCTTGTGGGGGGACCAACACATGTAACCTACGGCGTAACGCTGAGGGTAATAGAATCGGAGTTCGTCATCATCAACTCGGACACACAGAGTTAAGTTTATCTCATGTTGTCGTGATGGAAGTGTCCCCACATCTGTTGAGGTTTTAACTAAAGTGAACAATGGTAAACCGAACCGCCTGTGGGTCTGTGAGGTCAACCGCAGTGAACCGGTAAGGGTAGCAACAAGTCCTACATGCAGGAAGAGTACTGAGGACCTGCTCTCCTCACTATCTCGGATACAGTCAGGACTCTCGCTGCTTTACCTAATTAACAACTCATGCCAAAGAGCCATGACATAGGACCATGTTACAATGCCATGACACAGTGTGGCCCGATGTCAACCAAGGCGACGCTCACGCCACTCACTGTGCTCCATGGCGGTGTTGTCCTTGTGACGTCGCTATCGTCCTCGAACTCTTGTCACTTAGGAGGGCTGTAGCGTCACGTACTAAACCTCCGGCATCTTGTTACATGTTACGCCTCTCTCCTCGTGTCCGCCACTGTACCATCCACCTCGTGTGTTAACCTTCCTCTTATATTCTACTGTATAGTCCGCCTCTCATCCGTTACAACACCACAACTTGTTTGCTGTGTCGATGGCTGAAAGACGCCTCCATGGTACTCCTCCCCAAATTATGAGTAATACAAGGCGCCATCTTTATGCTACTGTAACCACCTGGGAATTGTTGTGTACCTCCGTTTTGTATCTTTACTGATATGGTAAAATACGCTACAAGGTTCCTCTAAAACCTGTTCCTGTTGCTTCAAACTCTGACTTGAAAAAAAAAATAGTCTGTAATTTTTTTTTTTTTGGATGTTTATGTTTTGTTTTAACTTAAGTCAAAATGTTGAGTGCATTTCCCTCTCCTCTACCTTCTCCCCTCCCGTTTGCCCCTTCCCCCTCCCCACCCCACCTCTATCCTTTTCCCCTCCCACAACTCAGGCTCCCCCGCCACTTTTCTATTAC